TCCTATTAGAAGAAGAACTAAAAGAGGAGCCAAAACCCCCGACAATAATTAGATGGGAAAAAGATCTAGGTCGAAACATAGACCAAGTGGAATGGATAAAAACCTGGAATTCAATTAAGTTATTGAGAGCAACCTCCTATAAAGAAAACATAATAAAAATGATACATAGGTGGCACTGGACGCCAGATAGGCTGCAAAAATGGTATACAAATGTTTCGGGATCCTGTTGGAGATGCAAACATAATATCGGAACGTATTTCCACATATGGTGGAAATGCAAAAAAATACAAAATTTTTGGAAAACCGTTAAACAGATGTTAAAAGAAATTATAGGGAAAGATTTAGCGTTGACACCAGAGCTCTTTTTATTGAACGTTACACCGGATGGGCTAAAATTCAATGAGAAATGTATTGTTGTATATGTTATTACAATGTCCAGGATTTCTATTGCTAAAAATTGGAAATCTGATAAATTACCGAGTAAGGATGATCTGACCAATATTCTTTATGAAGTAACGGAGATGGACAAGCTTAACATGTTCTTGGCGGGTAAAACAGAAGAACAATTTAACTTGAAATGGCAAAAAGCCATAAAATGGTATGAAGAAAGAGGTTGACTTAACCCCCCACTGTACGAAATTGTAACGTGATTATATGTAAAGTTGGAAAAATCAAAATAAATTCATTAAAAAAAAAGAAATAAGTCGCACTAAGTTCAATGGAAATTTCAATGTATGCCCATAATTTTGCACTTTTAGAGTGTTTTACAGCTGAGAAGCTGCCTCTGAGGCCACAACCTCTATTTATAATTATACTGATCATCGATAATACTGAAAAGAAGCATTTTAATGTGAATGAACATTCTGATCAATGGTGACTTTACAGTCACATTATAAACTCCATGGAAGCAAAAGCTGCTTGGAATTTCACATGTCAAATGCCCGTTGAACTTGGATTCAGTTCCAGACATCATCATGCAGACTGTCCATGCTCACATGACCTTTAGACATCATGGCCAGTCCACAGTGTGACTTTTGGTATGATAGGTGCAGGTTGGAATCTACCAGCTTTTTCATTCAGTCTCGCCTGATTTCCCTTCTCACTGCAGGCCCAGGCCCATATAGCTGTTGTCTGGTACAGGGCACAAGGCATAGTCCTTTGGACAATCAAAAGCCCCCCCCCCCTCTTCTAACAATGAAAAAGCTGATAGGTCCCAATCCTATCTCTTGAAGCTGTTGGTATCAGCTGCATGGGGATTCGTTCTGCTTAGCATGTTGTGAATATGGAAACATTTAGAGTCCAGTGGCATCTAGCACAAAATGAAAGTGTTTTCTGCTTGTCCACTGTGCTTATCAATCATTGGATGTCAATCAGAATCCAGGGTTGGAACAACAAGGCTCTGAACGTTTCTAAGGATTCTAAGCAAGAGACTTGGACTGGGCTGGTATCTTCTATGTGCCGACACAAGACATGTGCTCTTCAGGAGCCAGCCTTATTTATCATAGGCCCATGAAACAGGAAGCCAATATGTCCCTCTGCTCCCTCTACCCTGCTGGAGACCATTCCTGAGAAAACTGCACAGCTGTCTACATTCTGAAGCACCTTTCCTCTGGTGCATATTCGTGAAGAGTTTATTCCCATACTAGGATTCTGACAGCCTTTTGATGAAGCACCTTTACCAGACATACACTTCAAGAGCCACACTGGTCTAAAGTAAGGGGCTTTCAGGATCCTGCTGCACTTTTGTGGCTCAGAAGCTGCATGTGGATGGCACTAGAGAAGATGCACGGAAGGCCAAAATAGCGTTAAGCATGCTGTAGACAGTCCACCTTACTGATTTTCTCACTGGATAGTGCAGGAATAGAAAGCTAAACAATTTACGCCACTGTGGTGGTTTTTTTTTTTTTTTTTTAAGAAAACTGTATTCACGCTAAGAGTTTTTAAAAAATGATAATGTATCTAATAAATAAAAAGACTGATTGTTTCATAAACCTCATGGAGAAAACTGGAATTATTGTGTTCCCTAGGAAATTTTCTCTTTCTGTCTTACACTGCCAAAACTGTTCTTCACACAGGTAGGTTTGCCAACA